AGGTCACCATAAATGAAACCTTTTTTCAAACAAATTAATAGTTTTTGATTAGTGTTAGTTTAGTTTTTATGGAAGTATTACGTAAAGTTTTTGAGTTATAATCAAGTATACTAGAAAATTTTATTCGTTTCTCCTATAGTGCAATGTATAACCTCTAAAAAAATTCTAACTTTAAAATTAAATATTTCCAAAACTGTATGATGTAACAATCTCATTTTTTACAAATCGATACAGAATTATTATTATATATACTCTGAAAAAATGCAAAAAAAAAATCTATTTTTGTTCTGACTGCCATAACCCTTTTATGTAAAGTCATTTTTTTATAAGGTCATGTAATTATTCTCATTTCTATCTTCTTTTAAGAGTATGAAACTTTTAAAACTCTATTCGACTTCAAGACATAATGGACTCTCATAATACTGATATGTAACTGAATCCCAAAATTTTTAAATTAACGCTAATTATTAAAAACTTAATTGTGATTGAGAAAAAAAAAACAGATTGAAAAATTTAAAATCTGAATAAGCATTTGCATTGATGAATCATTACATGGATTTGGTTTCAAAAAACGTTTCAAATGTTTTACAGCATTTAAAAAAATTAATTAAATTACCTGATGTACTATGTAAGTTATTACTTCAAAAAATCATTTAATTATTGAGTATCTACGGTTGTATCAGCACGTTAATGAACCTAATTCAATTTTTCGAACTTGAAGGATTATTTTGTCCATTGGTCACTGAGAATTGATTATTCGTTACGTAATAAAATAACAAATATGTATGTAGATTTTTATTAATATTATTTATTATCTATTAGTTTATTAGTAATGATTTATGTACAATTGCATTCCTTAAACGTGAGCGTAGGTGTTCTTTAATTCTCGCCTAAAAATCAAGATTCCGTGTTTCGTCACATTAATTTGTACCTAACAGACATAACACTGAAAAAAAAGTATGAGTCTCACACTTATAAGTTTCAGTGATATTGAAATACTTGGTATTGCGAATATACTTAAACAATATTTAAGTCTCAACGCAATATTTTTT